ATGAGAGCTATAAAGCTACTAGGAGTAGAAAATGTGATTCACTGTTTTCCAAAATGTCATTACGTGGCTCATATAGCAGTCTCTTTACAGATGCAATCGAGCTCAGGTGAGGTTATACTGGATGAGGATGATCCCTTCATTCAATGGCTATGCTCTATGACAAGGAAATGTGGACACAGAGGCAGAGGAGAACATAATGAAGGAGCGTCTGTGAAGATGGAGACAGGTTTCAAGTGTTGCTGCCTCAGGGAAGGAGATCAGCAGTTGCGATAACTACCAGGAAGTCAAAAGAGACAAGGAAAAACTCCTCCCTAGGGCCTTCAGAAAGAGCATGGTCCTTCTGATTTGGGACAGCTAGCCTCCAGGTCTATGAGAGAACCTGTTCTGTTGTTGTAAGCCACCTAGTTTGTAGTAACTTGTTAGGGCAGCCCTAGGAAAGGAATATACCCATCGAGATGTGTCACATATCAAACAGTGTCATCCTTAACCACTATCACATGCTGCCTCATGTTTGTAGCACCTAAACTGTATTCTTCGAAACACATTTATCAGACACTGTATATTTCATACAGGGAAGCAAATGGTGCTCCTAGAAGTTCAGGTGGAGGAGCCCACATGAGGGGATGGAGAAAAGGTGGAATCATTGCAAGGTATACAATAGCCAGGCCTCTTTTTTTTGAAATGTCCAGTCTTACATATCTCTGTGGTATGATGCCTGACAGCAGAGAAGGGAAAAAAGGAGTTTGCTAACGAAGGGAACAGGATGCATTAGATAGCAAGAATTGGGAACTGTGAGACCTGCTACCGTGTAGCTCTGTGATCTGCACATGGCATTCAGATGTGGTTGCTTTGATCCAGACAACTGGTCTTGGGAACATTGAGAACACAGTCTAAAAAGGAAAATATTAAATGTTTATTTATTTAAAAATACCTCTCATCTCACTCAAGCCCTCTTCCTTATTTTACTACTCAGGCTTCTGACCCAGACCAGATACTTAATCCTTTTAGCGAGCCAAATAGATAAGTACATGAATATTCAGAAGAGAAGATCAGAGATGCCAGAAATGAAATGATGGTCAAAGATAAAGAGTCAGAGGTACAGTAAGGGGCATCAAAGAAGACACGAGGATCAGTGATTTCTGCCACTAATACTTGGTAATTAAAAGCCACAGCAGAAGCAAATGGGGCCTTATATCAATACATGTTAAACTTGGTAGTGAATGGTGTTAAATTCCTTATATTTAGGTGAGTGTTATGATTTATATCTAGATGTCCCCCCCCCAGCCTTATACACTCACAAGTGGGGCTTTGGGGAGGTGATTAGATTCTGGGTGTGATACTCATCAGTGGAGTAGTCCATTGAGGAGTTTATAATGAAGCCTGGTCCAAGGAGTGTGTCACTGGGGGTGTGGCCTGGAAGGTATATTTCCCTCCTTTCTCCTTTGATCCCTCTTCCTGCTTCCTGTCCGCCATGCCATAAGCAACCCTCCTCTGCCATTCCATTCTGCCTCGGACTGAAACCACTACAAACTGAACCAAAATAAACCTTCTATTCCCCTTAATTTGCAAGAGTCAGGTATTGTGTCTCAGGGACAAAGAAAGTAATTGAAGACAGTGGGTTTGAAATGTTTTGTTTTAAAAAGAACAGCAATCTCAAACTGGTGTGTCACACAAACAACTTTCGAATCCCTTGCTTGCTGAGTTCTGAGCTCTCTCCTTCATCAGCAAAGATGATGGGGTCGTAGTGAAACCCTTCATGCCTATGTGCAAACAGACCTGTACAGCCCTTAGGAACAGAACCTGTGGAAATATATAAGAAAAGTCATAAAATATGCATTTTCTTGGGCTCTGTACTCCTGTTTCTGGGACTTTATACAGGGCAGTGATATTTAAGAGAAAAAAGGGTGCAGAATATTCAGAGGAAAAATCCTGTGCAGTGAGGAGGGAAGAAAGTTCTGACAAATACTTTCTATCCATAACAAATTAGAAAATATAAGGTAAAACGGGGCACGCACAATTAAATCAAATCACCACCTCATTTCTCTTCCAAATGTTCTCCCCACCCTCACTGCCACCCGCCTGGTCTGAATGACCACCTCCAGGGCCTTGGATTATGGTGATAGCTCCCTAACTCATCGCCTGTCTTCCAACTTCCTGCCCCTCAGCACACCAGTGAAAGTGCCCCTTTCGCCTCATAAATCGGATCGCATCACTCTGCTCAGAAGCCTCCAGTGGCTTCCCATATGACTCAGAGCCAACCCATATGACTCAGAGTGAAGTCAGGGCCAACTCTGACAGTGCACACTGGGGTCTGTCTCCTTCCTATCCACACTGTTCATTAACCCTGCCCTCCACTCCCAGTGCTCCTTCCCCATGTCCACCTGCCGCGCTCTGCACTTCGAGTGGGAACTCAAATCCCGCTTCTCAGTGAGGTCTCCACGGACTGCCACATTTTACATTCTAACACGTTACACAGCCTCGTCCTGTTCCTCTGCTTTACTGTTTTCTCTTAGCATTTGTCAGCTTCTAATGTATTAAAGAATTTACATTTTAAAAACTTCAAATGCCTACCTCTCCTGCCCAAACATACATACTCCAGAATATAAATTCCACAAGGAAAGGGAGTTTTATTTTTGTTCTCAGTTGTTTTCCCAGCACCTAGAACAGTGTCTGGAACATAGCTGATATTCAGTAAATAGTTACTGAATGAAGAACAAGAGGTAAGTAAACTGGGTTATAACAAGATGATGGAGGATTAAGCAATCAGAAAAAAAGGTGTTGTTTTTTTTTTTGGTTTTGTTTTGTTTTTGCCTTTTTGAGATGGGGTCTCACTATGCAGTTCAGGCTGGCCTTGAGCTCACTTTGTAGACCACACTGGTCTCCAACTTGCAACGATCCTCTTGCCTCAGCTTCCCGAGTGCTGGGATTACAGGCATGTGCCACCACGCCCGGCATCAGAAAAAAGGTTGTACTTGTGCTATGTATCAATATGGAAAAGGCATATGCCAGAAGCAAAAGCCCTGTGTTGTGATCAAAACTACATAGGTGTGACTCTGGCAACATTACTCTTTTCTTCCTTCAATCAGATTTTATTGGTACATTTTAAATATACATAATAATGACTGTTATGGTTTGTGTCTGGATGTCCCCCTAAAGCCTCATGCAATCATGGGTACAGGCTTCTACAGTTTATGACTGATTCATGGTCCAACGCTGGGATTATGGGTGTGAGTGGTACATCTGCTCTGGGACAGATATTTGCATACAATGTAAGGGAGGGAGAGGTTGCTTGCCGCTCACTCCTCCCTTTTGCTCTTGTTGCTTTGCTGTTTTCTGCCACCATGAACTATTGTCCTCTGCCATGTGCCACTATGCCTTGGAGCCAGCTGATTACAGACTGAAATCTTCACAAACTGTGAGCTAAATAAACCGTTCCTCCCTTAATTCTGGGTGTCAGGTATTTTGTCTCAGCTACGACAGAAAAGTAACTAAGACAATGACATTCATCACAGAGAATTTGCACCTGTACATGATACAACTTGATTCTTTTTTTCCCCATTCCCCTACCCTCCCTTCAACACCTCCTCCCCTCCCCATTTTCAAAAGCTTAGTTTCCATTTTTTTCCTTTTTTCCTCACTTTAACTTTTCCCTTCTTTCCTTTCTCCCTCTTCCCTCCTTTGTTCCCCTCCCCATTTGTACATTTTCTTCCTATTTCATAATACCTAGAATATATTTCAGTCTGCATTTATGTTTTTGGTTTCTCACACCAGAGAAAATATTTATATGTCTTTCTGATTTGTTCACTTAAGAGTATAGTCTCAAGGTACATCCATTTACCTAGGAATGTCTCAAGCTTATCCTTCTTTATGGTAGAGTAGCAATCCATTGTATATATATATATAAAAAAATAATACACATCTTCTTTACCCATTCACCAGGTGGATGGGCATTTGGGCTGTTTCCAAGATTTGCTATTACAAACTATGCTGCCATAAACATGGGAGTGCCTATATCTCTGTGGTATGACGCTTTTAATTCTTTCTATCTAGAGTTTATCATGGCTTTTGTATACATCACTTTTGTTTGTTTGTTTGTATGTAGTCCAGAGTGACCTTGAACTCAGTAAGTAGCCCAGGCTCAGCCTCCCATTTGCTGGGATTACCAGGGTGCACCAGGACACCAGGTCTCCACTGTTGATTAGAATACCCTTCTGGGCAGTCATCTGTTCATCAGTCTCTGCCAATAAAATGGAGAACTCTTATAACACAAGATGCCTAGAACACATTAGTGAGCGCTCAACGTTTGAGTAATAAAACATGATAATGAACAAATAATAAATTGAGTATATAATGTGTCAAGTACCTCTAAGAACTTTATATATGCTCCGGCAGCTCTATAAGGTAAATTTGTCTTCGTTACAAGATTAATATTGAGGGAAAAATATATTTATATGACCGAAAAGTATACAAATGTTACATAGTGCCAAAGTGGTGGGACTGTAGGTAATTTTTCGCTTACAAAATTTTAATACTATAATTATATAACATCATACAGAATTATATATTACTGTAATACTATGTGTGTGCACGTGTACATGTACGTGTTTGTGTGTGACAAAATAATTTAAAAACATGAATGGGCAAAAACAGCAACAGGAAACTGTAGGGCAGGGTCTGGGGCAAGGAGAGAACCCGGAAGGAACCTACAAGCCCAGACGCGACTCACCTAAGATAGCAAGCCGCCGAGACCTCGAGCGACAGCCGGGCTGGGCAGCGACGGCCCCACCCCCGGAAACGCTTCCTTATCCGGAGGCCAACCGGCTGCCTAATGCAAACTACGGGAGGGGGCGTGGCTTGAGGTGACGCCTGCTGTGGGCGGAACCACGCCTGTATGGCTCCGGCCGCGAGGGCCAGGACAAGACCTTGTAGGCTGACACTGATTGGCTGCCTTGGAGACGGGGCGGGCTCTTTGGGTAGACCCTCTTCGTCGAGGGGCGGAGCCTAGGTCTGAGCCTCTAGGAGAGGGAAGTTGCGGCTCAGCTCTGAGCCCTGCGTCGCTAGGCGTAGGTCTTCGGCGCCGTGACCCCCAGAGGCGGAGCCGGAAGCGTTACGGCTCGACCCCCGAGCCTTCCGATTTTCCAGGGGGGCGGCCGTCTTCGCCGCGAGCTGCTCCACCTCTTCTTCTCCCAGTTAGCGGGAGGCCAAAGCCCCCAGTCAGGGCGGGGCGGCGCAGCCCCTGCTGCGGCTCCCGGAAGAGGCGCCATCTCCCGCCTCCGCCATGGAGCCCACCGCGCCGTCCCTCACGGAGGAGGACCTCACGGAGGTGAAGAAGGACGTGAGTAGCGCTTCGAGCCGGGCGCCGCGGGGCGGGCGGGGGCGGCGGAAACGGAGCCGGGGGCCCTGCAGGGGCCGAAGGTCCGGACACCTGAGGACGGCGGCGGCGAGCCGTGCAGACTTGGTGGAAGGGCTCCCCCACGGCCCGTTGATCTACTTTTAAACCACTGGACGCAGGGCTTGGATTTTTAAACTGCGTCCTGAGGATTTTCCTCGCCGTCGCCGTCTTGCCCCTTCCTCCCTGCCCCTCCGGATTGCCCCGCCCGCCCTGCGCTCCTGGAGCTGCGTCGCGAGGGCGCCGCGGTTCAGTTTCCACCTGGAGGCTGAAAGCCTGGGCTGCTGGCCCGGTGTGGTGCAAAAGCTGGACCAGATGAAGGGTCCCGAGCGGAGGAGCAGATATGTGAAACTGTTTTGCAAAGGGGGCTGGGGAAAGCTCCACAGCTGAGAGCAGCTTGGAATTCCCCTAGTAAGCGGACACCCACGTATTTAAGTGGGGAGGGGTGAGTACATGTAGCTGAGGATTGATTTACAGGTGAACGCTGGAAATATTCAAGGGCCAAGTTACGCTCTTCTGCATGAATGGTGCTGAGCTGTACAAAACTTAATTTTTTTTTTTAAAGAATAGCTTTGTTGAGGTGCAGCTGGTTTCTTGTTCTTTTGCTTTTAGCCGTTTTGCCAGATGAGACCTCAATGAACACCGTTAAAGCGCTTCATGCGAATTCAAACGAAAATCAAACTCAACAGGAACACAGTACATTTACCAAATCGTCTTTGTAAAACTTGACCTCACAGCAATTTCTGGATGTTGACCTACTTCAGATGCCTTTTTCTTCCGTCTCCTGTGAAGTTTGTTACACTTTTTCTCATAATTGCAGTTGATACGACTCACTAGCAGAAGGCAACTGGATCTGACTGGAACTCGTGTCTTAGGTTCTTCATTCAGCAGAGATTTATGGCGCACTTACCACATGGCAAGAAATGTCCTTCTGCCTGGGAGGAGGCAAAAGATGAGGAGCAGACACCCATGCTTTTCGTTCTAGTTGAGAAAAACTGGAGTATTGTTAACTGCTATAGAATAAGTGTTGTCTTATTTAAGGTACCAGTAAAATTATGAATTGAAAGAGTTTAGGCTTACTGTGTTCCAGATTTTTGTGTCACATCATTTTCAAATTTCCCACTTTCCATCTTCACAACCTCAAAGGGAGACAATTGTTGTTTGCATTTTACATCTGTTGAAATAGAATTTGAGAGAGTACAAGCCAGAAGAAGTAAGACCTGCAAAGAGGGCCTTCCAGACCTTTGTACTTCTTGGTTTATTGATGTTACTCATCTCCATGATTTCAGTTTACAGTTTGGTCAGAAATTCATTACCTGGAGGAGACTATAGATGTATTTCAGGAGGCCTGTGAAAAACTACATTTTTTTCCTTAGATGTTTGCCATATTTTCAAAATGGTTTGCAACCTTAGCAAGTTTAAAAACTGTGCAGTAAAAAAAAATTAAAATAAAATAAAAAATAAAATTTGTGCAGAGGTTGTAGCTCAGTGATAGAATATTTGTCCAGCATGTTTGGGACTCTAGTTTCAATTCCTAGCACCACAAAAGAAGAAAAAAGTTTAAAAATTGTCTTCCACAGGTTTGGCGTGGTGGCGCATGCCTGTAACCCCAGCACTTGGGAGGCTGCAGCAGGCGAATCTCCTTGAGTATAAGGCTAGCCTTATAGCCTTATAGTTCCAGGACAGCCTGAACTACATAGCAGAAAAAAAAATTGTCCTCCACATATTTGAACTTCTTTCTCAACTCTAGGCCCTTATTTCCAAACATGTACTAGAAATCTAGTTTTTTATATCCTGCAAGTCAGTTTGTGTTTTCACAAATTGAATTTTTCACTCATTCTTTCCTTAAAGTTGCTTGCTGTTCCTTCTGCATGGTCTGTCTTGATGAGTGGTGTTCAGTAGTCCCTTAAAGGACAGCTTTCTGTCTGAGGTTTTCCTGTCTGTGGTTTCAGTTACCTTTGGTCAAACATGGCCTGAAAATATTTAATGGAAAATTACAGAAATTCATAAGTTTTAAATTGTGCATTGTCCTAAGTCTTAGCCCATTGAGCCCCCTCTGGCCAGAGTTGGGAGTCATCCCTTTGTCCAGTGTATTCATGTTGTATGCAAACCTGCCCGTTAGTCCCTTACTAGCTGTCAAGGTTTTGTACTGTCTGAGGTTCTAGGCATCTCCAGAGGGTCTTGGTACTTAGTGTGGGAGTAGTGAATCACCACCTCACTTCCTGGAAACTCCCACTTCACAATCTTCTTCTTCCCTATCTAGTGTTTACCTTGACTTTTTGGTTGAATTCAGTTCATATTAATACATGTGAATTACATGGTACTGTAAAGCTAATAACATAGTCAATTTTAAGTGTTAAAATTGGAAAAAACTAAGAAGTAATCCTAATTTCTTGGGGGGGAGGAAGATAAGCATAAAATGATCATTTTAAATCACAAAAGAAGTGCAATGAATTTTAACACTCATCCAAAACATTTTCTACTTGGCACTTAACAGGTGCAGGGTATACAGTATTGAACAGAACATACATGGTTCTCATCTGCTTCAGACATACAGATCATTAAAGCTGGAAACAAACACGTGCATAATTACAAATTATGGTAGGTTCCATGGAGACAAACAGATGCTAAGATAGTAATAGGAAATCTACTTGAGACAGTAAGGTTTGGTTACATTTAAACTGATTCCTGAAAAGTAAGAACTGGGGGAAAAACGTTCAAGTAGAATAGAATTTGCTCTGGACCAGGGCTGGGGATGTAGATCAGAGGCTCAGAGCCTGCCTGGCAAGTGTGAAGCCCTGAGTTTGGTTCCCGGTAACAAAAAAAAAGAATTTGCTCTGGATCTAAAACTAGCAAGATCTTGATTTGAAAATATTGGAAGAAAGTAGAAGGTAGCCTGAGGTGAGGTTAGGGTGATAGGCTAGAGTTGATTCAGTGGAGAGCCTCAGTTTCTCTCCAAGTATAGTAGTAGGGGAGAATTATGAAGAATTATGTATTTATTAAAGATCCCTCTGGCTAGTCTGTGGGCTCACAAGTGAGAGAGTAGGGAAAGCAGTGAAGAGACTCCTGGAATTTATATAGATAAAAGACAAGAGTGATTTGCAGAGTGAATGCAGTGAAGATGGATGGAGCTGCAAATATGTTTTTGAAATAAAAGTGATAGGACTTGATGAAATGCATGTGAGAATTGAGAAAGATGGTAGAATCAGAGTAATAAGTAGGAATGTTGATTAGATACACCTGGTGTGAAGAGTAGAAGATCGGGGCTAGGAATATGTGAGCTGGGTGTGGTAATGCCTGCCTGTAATCCCAGCACTTGGGGAAGCTGAAGCAGGATGATTGCAAGTTCAAGCCTAGCCCGGGCAACGAAACTACCTTGCAAGACCCTGCCTCAAAAAAAATTTTTTTTTCTTTAAAAGGACCAGAGGTGTGGCTTACTGCAAAGGCCCTGGGTCTCTACTGCCAAAAAAAAGAAAAAGGAAATACAGTGTGAAATTGAATTACATCACGTAAGAAGTTTCTCCCTTTAAAGAGGAGAGTTTTAAAACATGAACAGTTATAGCCCCAGGGACTAGAAGAAAATCAGGAAAGTACGGTATTTATATAAGATAAGAAGAGAGTGGATAAAGGAAGAAGTGGTCAGCGGTGGCCATGCCGCTGAAAAGTCAAATAGGATGAAGATGATACATTCCCTATTTGACAATCAAGAGGTTGCTGGTGACTTGAAGAAGAGTAGAGGGAAGAGTAGGGATGAATTGGGCAATGAAGTGAAAGAAGAGACCTGGATGTAGAAAGATAAAATCTATTCACAGGGTGCTACAAGGGCAGAGAGTGTTACCTAGCTACCCCTGGGGAGTTAAGGTAACGCTTTTTAAAGGAAGTGACCATGGACATGAATCTTAAAGAATAAATAAGGCTTTAGGATCAGAAAAGAAAGTAAGACAGAGGTAACAAGTAACTGTAGAATGACAGACAGCAGTTTGAGGTGGAGTAAAGTACCAGGATAGAGGTGGTGAGAAACCAAATTAGGTGGGTAGGAACCGTATTATCCAGAGTCTTGTCTACCATAATCAGATAGTCATTGTTTTAGTCATTTCTGTGTATCAGTGACTGTACCAAGTCTTTATATAAAGCTATCTCACTTTTACCTGTGAGTTACGTTTTTATCCCAAAATTTACAGTGGTTAAATAACTTGCCCACCTGTCACAGGGGTATATGACAGAATCAGGCTTTAAAATGAGGTTGATCTAACTCTGGAGCCCCTTCCTTAACTTATCTACTATTCTGCCATGGTTGAGGAACTTTATCGTTTAAGTATTAGCAGAAACAATTTGAAATTTTTTAAAAAGTGAATATAACCTCAGTATTAGAATTTATATAACACTTTAGATTTCCATTGTTCTTGAAAAATTGGAAGATCTGTTGAATAATATAAAGAAACTTGAGAAAAAAGAAGTATAGCTAGCTAGGTTTGTGCTGTTCGTCTGTGCAGAATTTGACAAGCGTCTGAATTAGTGCAGTACTAACAGTAAAGATGAAGTGAAGGAGCAGATTATATGTGTGTGTCTGTCTGTCTGTCTCTGCCTGTCTGTCTGCCTGTTCTTATATGCATGGACATATTGCAGGACAGATAGACCAGGAGTCCTTTGCACACACAGTTCAAATCTTTGGGATGTCTAAATGGAGGAAATCTTGATCATAAACATAAACCTGGGAATCATCGGCAAATAGGTGGTAATAAGACCATACATGAGATTTTTAAAAATATAATCTTTCCATCTCCACAATTTAAAGTTATACATTCAGCAAGTCTTACATAAGATCATTGCAGCAGTTTTTTCATTGATCTCCTTTAACAATTTTGGCTACCCCTAGTCCTCAAAATTTTCTTACTGCCTCTTGTTTGTACACATTTGATGACTTCTCCTTTGGAGTACAAGGAAATGCATGTTCCTCAGAGTGTTGTAAAAGGACTTTATGGTGGCAGGGTGTGGTGGATATGCCTGTAAACCCAGCATTCAGGAAGCTGAAGCTGGAGAATCACCTCAACTTTGAGGCCAGCCTGAACTACATAGGGAATCCCTGTCTTTAAAAAAGTCTTTCATGATGTAACCCCAGTTTTCCTTCTCTGCTTCATTCCTAACCACCCTGTCACATTTACTGTGTTCCAGCTACCCCAGATTTCTCAGTATTCCCCCCACTGCACCTTCATGCCTTTGGCTCAGGTGAACCTCTGTATTTCCTAGGTCCTAGAGATAGAATTCGTTGCTCTCTGTATTTCTCCAGTACTTGATCTACAGGTCTTGTAACAATTGGCTTGCAAGGGATGCTTATTCCCCAAATAGACCAAGGAGCCCTTTGCATACACAATTCAAATCTTGCTCATCTTTGTACACTCATTGCTTAGCATTTGACTTACTAGGAATTCAGCTATGTAAAATATGTGTTGTGTAAGTAAATAAATGCATGCGGGAATTCAGTGGACTGGGAACTACAGGAAGCCTTCCCTTAGATGGCATTCTACAAGGGTGCTGCTAAGATATGCCATGCCTTTATTATTATGGGCAGTCATGGTAAATGTGACATCATCATTGTCATCATCTCTAACGTGTTGGTCACCTACTATGTACCAGGTGAAGAGGAGTTAAGTAACATACCCAAGACCATGTATCTAGTAAATAGAGAAGCTAAAATACAAACACCGACATCACATTGTTAGTGTCATTTATTAAGACCAACGTGGACTTGATGTAAACATTATATAATGTGTGTGTATCAAAACATTACATGATACCTCATTAATATATAGCTTTTATGTTTTAATCTATCAGTTAAAACATAAACATAAATACACAAATAAATAAAAGACCAATGTGGAATTTCTGCTAGTTCAGTAGTACCCTTAGGCACTTCTCAGGTGTAGGCTTGTTTTCTGTGAGCTTCTTTTTCTCAGTTTCTTTTCTTTTTTTTGACACTCACTATTCCTTTAGGTTTTTCTCCCCCCACACCCACCCATTTCCCTTCCACCAAGACCAGCTCAGTGGGGTATAGTCTTTCTAAATGACATCAGAGACAGAGAGATCATGTGCCCTTTTAGATTGTTTTATTTTTAATGATTTCACTCTAGGGAGATGGGATGATTAATAATGGACATGAGGCAGGTATAAATTGTGAGACTTCACACTGATTTATCCTCCCAGCTTCTGTCTAGTTCTGAATTCCCTTGCTTAAGTAATAGTCAAAGTGTGCATTAATCTTTCTTCCCTTTACCCTAAAGGACACCCTCAGCAGGATCCCATTTGAAGGACCCAGACTCTTCCTTTGCCAGGTTCTCCCTCATGATAGCATATAGGTCTTGGTTTTCAGGTGTAAAGGTGAGAAAAGAGCAGGGCAAGAACTGAGGAGTGTCTGGAACCTGCCTGTGTGACTTCAGAACATTGACTCATACCGGTTAAGATTCCTGACTAATAGCCAGTCACCTGTGTGGCATCGTAGGCATTACAAAATACATTGAAATATATTTTATTTTATGTCTTTTAGGCTTTAGAAAATTTGCGTGTTTACCTGTGTGAGAAACTCATAGCTGAGAGACATTTTGACCATCTCCGTGCGAAAAAAATACTCAGTAGAGAAGACACTGAAGAAATTTCTTGCCGAACATCAAGTAGAAAACGAGCTGGAAAATTGTTAGACTACTTACAAGAAAACCCCAAAGGACTAGACACCCTCGTTGAATCTATTAGGAGAGAAAAAACACAGAATTTCCTGATACAGAAGATTACAGATGAAGTACTGAAACTTAGAAATATAAAACTAGAATATCTGAAAGGTAAGATACCTCAGGTATCAAGGAATCGATTGCTTTTTAAAAATGTAAAAGCAAAACAAAATCAGTAATTATCACTTTACATTCAAAAAGTTTACTCTTCAGAATTGTATTTGATTTACATTTTTTATTTACATTTTTTACCATGTACAGTAGCATTACATTTTAAAAGCGAAGTACCTCTCAGCATCCCGTATTGATATTCATCTAACAATACCACTAACAGACCGCTTTCTATAATGAAACCCCAGGTTATACAAGGATTCATTTATAAAGTCAGAACAAAATTAATTTATTCAAAAGTAACCTCTGAAAATATATCCCATATTAAGAACAGTATACTGGTGACACATCTCAGTAAGTCCCACTCACAGTTTTTCTCCTCCCAGTTGGTGAAGTAGTTCCGTAGATACACATAACTTTTAAACACCAGGATCCAGCTCAGTCTGGCAGGCCGTGAGTGGCATGAGGACCTGAGATGATTAAGGGAATAGCACATCTAGCGCTCCCCTTTTGCCCTCACCTCAGAGTGCAGACGCACTGATGGGGAAGCTACATAGAGTCGCCTACACTGTTGAAACCCTCTACCCCTCATGCTCTGTCTCCAGAGCACTCAGATGAAGTGTGCCTGTCATGTGGCTCTACGCCAGCTAGTCTTAAAACTGGACATAGAGAAAGAATAACTCGGGCACTGCCCTGAAGGAACTCCCAGTCTACAAGTCGTTGGGACACACTGGAAGTTTCCCCTTATAAAGCATATATGAGGGAAAAAAATTCTCTAGCTTTGGACAGAAACGTTGAACATACAGTAAAATTGAAAAACATGCAGGGAAAGTGACATATAAATGTACTTCACAGACTTGACGGGTGTTGGCCAGAATTTATCAACTTGGGAGTTTTGCCAGTAGACAGATTGACTGTTTACCAAGCCTAACAGAAAGAGACACTTGTGTTTATTCTTTTAATCTTGAGGCTAATTATTGACTCTATCCTTAGAATATGATAAAATTATCTGATGGGAATGACCACTGTTGTATCAGGAAGTGTAACCTATTTCATTGCAGTTCTCACTTTTCTATCAAGCAGTCCTGGGGTGCGAGGCATGACTTACCTGTGCTTTGCCTCTCTTTCCTCATCTCTAATAGTAAGAGTCTATGTGAGGTGGCCGCTAAAGTCCCTTTGATTTCTGACTCTATGTGAGCCAAGAATCATAATTGTCATGGTTTGACTCAGAGAATTTCACAATATGCCATGCTAAGCGATTGCTATGCTAAAATACACCCCCAGCCCTGGTCTCAGTTTGAGACCAGGTCTCAGCTGCCCAGACTGGCCTCAAACTTGTGATCTTCCTGCCTCGTCATCACTGCAATCACCAGCGTGTACTGCTGTACCTGCCTAAGTGTTGTTTTTATTGGCTGATATTTTTTGTATAAAATGCTAAGGAATATTTATTTATTTGTTGTAAATTCAGTTGATCTTATGAACAATTTTGTCATCTATGTAAGTATACAGGAAATGTAAATTATTGCGTGTCATTTAGCTTTCATAAATTTTTTTATCTAGAAAATATAAATGTTCAGGAAGCAAATAAGATGTGAAATTCACTTTTTTTTTATCTAGAAAATGTAAACACATGGTTGTTCAGAAAAGCAAATGAGATTTAAAATTGATTATGATGTATAAACTGAGATTTATGTTCTGGTTGTTAAATGCCTAGCTGGAAGTTACAAGGTGAGAGTAGACTTTTTTTTTAAGTTACTTTTTCATTTACGTCTGAATAATTCTGTTGTAGGACTGAAATGTAGCAGCTGTGAGCCTTTTCCAGATGGAGCCACGAACAACCTTTCTAGATCAAATTCAAATGAGAGTAATTTCTCGGAAAAACTGAGAGCGCCCACGGTCATGTACCATCCAGAGGGAGAGTCCAGCACAGCTCCCTTTTTTTCTCCTGTTTCTTCTCTGAACTTGCCCGTCTTGGAAGTAGGCAGAACTGAAAATACCATCTTCTCCTCGAGTGCACTTCCGAGGCCTGGGGACCCAGGAGCCCCCGCTTTGCCGCCCGAGCTGCAGTTAGAGGAAGGAGGAACTTGTGGGAACTCAAGCGAGATGTTTCTTCCCCTACGATCACGCGCTCTCTCACCGCAGTGACACTTGACTGCCTTCGAATTTTTTAATAGTGACAAAAATGTTTTAAATGATATCAGTCTTTTTATAAAACCATTTGAATGATTACTTACATTAGCCATGTCTTTTAAAAAACACGGGGTAAGCACACTTTGTAAATAAATAGATTAAAAGAAACATTTCTAGGCTAGCTAAATGTAAATCATGTTGGTCATGTATTTTTTCAACATTTTCTTTTTTGTGGGTTTTTCTCTTTTTTTGGTGTTTTAGTACTTTCAAGTTTTTTATGTTGTGAGATTAATTTTAATAGGGACCATTGCTCTGTTTGAAAATAAACTTTTAGGTGGAAATAAGGTTTCTCCGAGCTTTGGCAGTCAATGTGAAGCATTAAGCTTTTCCTGTTTGGTAATAAAGCAAACCACAAATGGGAAAACAGCCTAAATACTGAAAAGACTCTCTTTCCCTCTTGGTTGGCTTTACTGGTCACTTGCTGATTCTGGAGGAATACATGGTGGAGTTTGAGCCTCCTAAGATTCGTTTACTAAAATTCATTCCTTGCTAACCTTGCTGATTGAGTCTTTATCATTTTCATTCCTAAAGAAAAGTATCATGGTAGAAGCCTCAAGTATTACATGTAATTTGATGAGATTTGAAAAACTTTTCTCTGTACTTCTCACTATCTTTTAATGAGTTTCACTGTATAGTTGAAATAACTAGAAGGGATTTATTGGGGTGTATTGTGTCAGTTAATATTCTAATCAAGTGGACCATTAGCTAGAGTTATCCTTTTGTTACATAACGAAATTTACTATTCTACACATTTAAAATCTTACACTCTCATTGGTTTCATTTAAATTATAATTTGACATATGTCCTGAGGTTCATCTCCTATATATTTCTATTACTAAAAAAATTATAAATGAAAGTTTCCTATTAACAATAAATGTTTTTTAATGTTGTGCTATGTTTCAGAGTTTCAAATTTTTCAATTGGAAATGTCTAAAACCCTTTTTGTTTTGTTTTTTGTCTTTTTACAAGACAGGGTCTCGTTACACAGTTCAAGCTGGCCTTCAGCTCACTTTGTAGCCCAGGCTGGTCTGAAACTCACAACAATCCTCCTGTCTCAGCCTCCAGAGTGCTGGGATTACAGGTGTGTGCCACCGCACCCAGTGAACACTTTTTAAAATATGTGCCACTTTTCTTACAGAAAACATTACTTCAAAGTGTGAGAGAGAAAACTAGGCATGATAGCACATCTATAATCCCAGCATGCTGGAAGGCAGAAGCAGGAGGATCGCAAGTTTAAGCCCAGCCTTGGCATGTTAACGGTTTAGCATGACTTTGTCTCAAAAGAAAAAATTTTAAGAAGGGCTGGAGATTTAGCTCAGTGTGAAGGCCCTTGGTTCAATCCCCAGTTGGAGAGGCGGGGGTGAGATTGAGTTGCATTTCTGCATAGACTGATGAATTTGTCAATGATGAATACTGACATATGGCTGTAAAAAGATTTTTAAAAACTAGGTGATATTTGTAATTTAAGCATTTTCAAAAGTTATGGAGGGCAACTCATTCAGGACCCACCCTGTCTCTCAGGAACTATTCCTTTCCCCAGTAAGTTTTCCTACTCTTTTTTTTTTTTTTTTTAAACTATAGAGAAAGATATTTCACTTGGAGCACATACCAAAAGCGGATATGACACTGTGTTTAAAGAATTCACTTTAAAAATTAGAAGTAGACTTCTAATTTTGTTAAAATTTGATGTGTGGGCACCTCTTGTAAAATTTTAAATAGGATTTACTCAGAATCAAAGATCATAATATGTAGCATTTATAAGTGAGTTAACACTACATAGCTAACTATGTAGGCAATAAAATTGAAGTTTTAATACACTTAGGTTCTGAGTTTTCAATTCTATAAAGTCCATTCCCCCCTTCAAATTAAAAAATAATGATTGCAAACATGTATAAGTTTTGTTTTTTTTTTTTTTGTTTTTTTTTTTGCAAACGTATAAGTTAGAAGGACAGATTGACATGAGTGAGATTTAACTTGTTACTAGGTCGATTAATGTAACATTGAGAAAGCTACTTTTCTGGGTTACCATATTATCACAATATAAACATTTGTATTGCTTTTTAGTACTAGTACTTTGATATTTGATGCTTTTGTAGATTTACAGAAAAACTAAGCAAAAAGAATTTTCAAATACCTCCTCCCCTTTTTCCCATATTAACATCTTGCTCTAAAGTTGTGTATTTGTTTAACTGATGAGCCAATATTTTTGTCTTTTCCAGAATGTGACATAGGTGGACTCACAGTCAGCAGCCTTTTCAGACCAGCTTCATTCACTTAGTATGCAAGTAAGGTTCCTCCAGGTCTTTTGGTAATGAGTCCACACCTTCAAAGATGAAATTCATCTTTGCCTACCCTGTCACTCTGAGAGCAAGGAACAAACACTGACAGAATAGGGGCAGACCAGCATAAAGGTAGTTATTTTTTTAATCTTTTTGTTTTGAATTTTATAAATCTTTTTTTGCTTGTTTTGTGTTTTTTTGGTACAGGGAAACAAACGCAGAACCTTGCACTTGCGAGGCAGGCACTTATACCACTGAGCTGTATCCCCAGCCCTGAATTTTTTAAATCTTGCTTGGTGTGTTTGTCTTTTTGTTTCAGTTTGGTTTTTTTGAGACAGAGTCTGTCTATGTAGTTCAGGCTGGCCTTGAGCTCATGATGACCTTGCTGTCTCAGCCTCCTGAGTGCTGGGATTACAGGCAGGCACCACCACGCCCGGCCTTGGCATGTTTATTTTAATCCAGTTGATCAATCTTTTTACTAGTGATTTTTATCTTTTAGTTGAGATTCTGCCATCTCAGCATCAAGATGCTATTCTCATGTCAGTCATGGTGAACCTATGGCACGCGTGCCTCGGCTGTTTGTATCATTGAAAAGTAAGAGGTTTGCCATCAGTGTTCTGTGTTTTCTTCTAGAAGTTGTTTTATTTTCCCATTTATTTCCATGACCCATTTCAAAGTAATTATGTAAGGTGCAAAGTAGAAGTCGAGCAGCAGCCTCATAGCTACTTGGTTTAAGCAATGTAAAAGGAAGCAGGAAGTTTCGGGGCCCAGCCTCATTTTGTATCAAAGAATAAATATGTACACTGTTGACTTAAAAGCCCAGCAGCAAATTGATGTACAGTTGTTAAATGAAATTTTATCAGAGCTGTCTGAAAGGAGAACTGAATTTTACTGATAGATGATATAGATAAGTGCTGTCCCAAAATCTTTACCCAGAATTTGCCATATTACTCAATTTAATTACCAGAAATTACCCTTTATTACAGTGTTTCCAAACTTTGCTGCCCATTGTGTAATCAACACGGGAGCTTTTAAAGGTCTCAGTCCTTTGGCTGCATCCCATAAATCAGTTAGAGTGGTTTGGGGTGGAATCTCAGCCTCTTTGGATGCCAAGAACTGTGCCTGGCATTTCCACGTGTTTGCTCTTGTCCCACAAGGCAGGTTTTATTGTCTTTTTTTAACAGATGAGAAACTCAAGATAAAGTAGATGGTTTAAAGTCACACAGCTTTTTAGGATGGAAATCCAGGGCTGTTTGATTCTTAAGGTCAGTGTTCTTTCCACAGCTTCTCACTCTCTTAGCATTTCTTAAAAGCAGAAAGGTAAGAGAATTACGTAGGTTTTTTTCACTCATTGACTCCATAAATACTCACTGAGTACTCACATTTGTAGATACTGATGACACAGTGTAAAATCAAAGTCCAGAACAAAACTCACTTTCTCTTTGGGGAAGAGAGTAAGAAAATAAGGAAAACTAAGAGAGGTCTAGTTACTGTGAAAAAAAAAAAAATAGGACATGAGCAAAAAAGTAATGGGAATAGAACTGACCTGTGAGCTAAGATCTGAATTGTAAGAAGGAAGGAGCCAGCCAAGTGAAGTTCTAGAGGGAAGTGTTTCAGGCAGAAGTAGCAGTGAATGCAGAGAACCTGAGGCAGTGACGTGAGGACTGCGTAGCCCTGTGTGGCTGTATATAAAGGTGGTGGTGGAAAGTGACTACAGGGAGTTCAGGAGTCTGGACTGAGATTGTACAGATGGAGAGGAGTGTCGAGGGTAGTCCAGCATCAGATCCTAAAGAAGTAGATAGGGCTGGGAATGGTGGAGCACGCCTGTAATCCCAGGACTCAGGAGGCTGAGGCAGAAGGATCGCCATGAGTTCCATAATCGGTCAGGGCTACATAGTGAGTTTAAGGCCACCCTGAACCACATAGCAAGACCTTGACTCAAAAAAATAAAGGAACAGGGTGAAGAGGGAGTCCAGTGCAGTGCATCAGATACTAAGTGGAGTAAGCAGGACACCCCCAAGGGAAAAGGGCCAGCAGCCGTGATAGAAGATGGGCTGCATGCTTGGGGACTGATCAAGTAACAGGGTAACGGGATCCAGATTTCTCAGTGTTGGAAAGTGGAGTTACAAATATTGAAATAGAAAACAAAAAAGGACTGTGTCTTACTGGATAAAAATATGAGTATGAACTCATATGAAATACGAGTATGAGTATGAACTCAAGGGTTTCAATTTTTGTAGGTGGATGCAGGAATAAATGCATTCCCTAGCTTTGCCCATTGAGAGAAACTGGAAATGGTAGCAGTTAGCATAGCACCCAGATCTTGGTTTCTAAATACCATTCTCCACTGAAAGGATTTATTAGAGTTCCTTGATGAAATAACTAATAGCAGGAAAAGTATAAAATGAAATTGGAAGCCAGGTGTGGTAGCACACATAGTTCCAGCACTTGGGAGGCTGAGGCAGGAAGATCGAAGAAGTTCAAGGCCAGCCTGAACTACATAGCAAAACCCCCAAAAACCTAAGTAAGTAAATAAATAAGCCTGCAACATCTTGTTCCAGACAGCAGACAAGTGTTCAAAGAATGGCAAGGCATGCAAAAGACCACAGAAGCCACTTTGAAGGGATTTCGAACAGTTTCAACATCAAATAATAATGCATTGTAACTCACCGAATAAAATGAGAAACCATGAATCAATACTAATAAATGAGCAAATATTAATTTGATGGAGAATAATTCACTGACACTTTTGGGGCAGTACCTCCCTACCCAAAAAATTACTGTGTTAAAGCTGGCTGCAGTACTGTATGCCTGTAATCCCAGCTTGTTAGGCTGAGGCAGAAGAATCAGAAGTTTAAGTGTAGCCTGAGCAATTTAGGAAGATTCTGTCTCAAAAAATAATAGAGTGCTGGGGAAGTAGCCAGTGTGAACACCGGGATTCAATCCCCAATTCCCAAAAGGAGAAAGAAGGAAAAGAGAAAGAGAAGAAAGAGGGAGAAGAAAGAAAAAGACAGGAAGAAAGAAAGGAAAAGAAAAAAGAGGAAAGAAAAAAAAGATTGGTTATTAATTACACAGGAAAAAAAGTGACTTTACACGGAGCAGCCTGGCAGACTCTACCATAAACAAAAAATCAAAGTGAAATCTTTAAGGTCAGAACAAACAGAAAACCATGTACCTCCTAAGAGACCACAGTGCCGCTTCCACAGTGTTCCTACCAAAGAGTGAGAGCCTGAATCTAATCAATAAGAAACCAAACTCAAATCCTAGGGTCTCCTGTAAAATAATGCATCTGTAATCTTCCAAGTCTCAACATCATTGAAGGTAAACAATAAATGCAGGGCATGAATCTGAGCCACCTTGGTGGCGGTATAGATGTCCTTATTATAGAAAATGCAAACAAGTAAATCATTTTTACTGAAGTATAATTTTGGGGGTGATAAAGGATTGTGTCAGCAACCCACTCTAAGGTGGTTAAGAGAAGAAAAAGTCCTTTGTTCTTGCAATTTGTTGCTGCAATTTTCATTAAAGTGTTTCAAGATTTTAAAACGAAGATACTAATTGTTAAGAAAATTTAATAATAAAGATTCCTGCAGTTATCTGAGCAAAAGATGGCAGTAATAGAGGTAGACTTGGTCAGAGTGTTTGACTTTGAAACATATATTAGACTTGGAATGACAAGATTTGCTGGCTTTTGTCCTGAGCACCGGATTAACAGTGGTACAGTTTAAAACAGGGAAAGACTGGAAGACGTGGATTACTGAGTTACAGAGAATGAAGAGGTGTATTTTTCAGTAATCCCTTACTGCTTGACACAAAATTCAAAAGTCAGTGGTTTAAAATAACCATTTATGATTCTCAGCTTGAGCTGGGCTTGCCTTTATTGGTCTGATGGTCTAACCCAGGGTCATTCCCGAGCCAAACTGGGGCTGGATGACTTCAGATGACTTCAGGCACAAGTCTGGTACCTCAAAGGGGGTGGCGGCACAAGCTGGGAGTACCTGGGACTCCTCTCACGGTAACTCTAGCAAGAGTAGCTGGACCTGGCGGGTCTTGATTCTCAAGAGAGCCAAAGTGCAAGCCATCCTTATCAAATCGAGTCTCGAGGCCTGGATTTAAAGACCCCACCCTCAGTGGAAGGAGTGACAACATGTGCTAGGATGAGGATTCCTGGACACCGCTTTCGAAGACAGTCTTAACACAAGTGTGTTACTTTTGAGGGCCTTGTAAGACCTTGAAAGAGGAAATTGCTAATAGGAGTCTGGCATTCAAGAGAAACATCTGGACTGATTTTATAAAAGTTTCAAGGAGGCCCCGTCTTGTTGAGCTGTCAAGTTAGAAATGGCCTTTGGACCTGGTCACACCTGAGTATTGATTGCTCTGATAACAAGAACTCACATTGCTTACACTAGGTGGCGCAGTCCCAGTGACTCTCGACAGTAGTCAAGTCTTAAAAGCCACAGGATAAATGTGGTTATCTTTTTGGAGTGTCAGTTTTACTAGTAATAAATAATTTTAAATGTTTTTGTCCACTAAAATAAAAGGTCATAGTAGGGACAATTATGCAAGATTTTGAGTACATTTTCAGTATATTGTTTCCTCAAAAATTTTTGCTCATGGGGTTTGGACCACACCGTCTCAGCTCAGCTCCTGAGGGGCTAGAGACTGGGTTTAGCCGCATGAGTATTCAGCACGTCTTATCTGACCAAACCGTGGTGAAAACTCTGGATACCAAAGCGTGGGGGCCTGCATAGATTGTCACACATCTAGGTCAAAAGAAGTTAGTACAGTGCCTGACTGCTCCGGCTCAGAACAGGTGAAAGATCTGAGTAAAGGACTCTTCTGGGCTGTGCTCCATGCATCTCTTTCCTTCACTGATAATTTTTTCTATTCTTTTGCTGTAATATGCCACAACCATGAGTAAAACAGCTTCCAGGGACTTCTCTGAGGTCTTCTCGCAAATTATCAAGCCTGAGATGGGTCAAGGGAATCCCTCATTTGTTACTGGTGTCAGAAGTGAGGATGGTTTTGGGGACCCTGAACCTTCACACTTTGGGACCATTACTTTCTCTATTGACACAGATTCTTCAATGGACAAACTTGACAAACATTTATGTAGACCCGTTTCCTCTAAACTATTATAATCCAGCAAAATTTCTGAATCATATAACCTGTTTACAGGCACTGAAATGAGCAGTAGGAATAGAAACACAAACCACAGTCCAACTTCCGTCATCAAGAAGCTGAGACATTGTCCTATAGGACTTAGGAAAGAGAAGTCAACAAGATAGACGTATGTGGTGTGATAAAAATATGCTGTGAATGTTTATTTATTTATTTATTTATTTTCCGGTACCGGGAATCAAACTGACGACCTCGCGCTTGCCAGGCAGGCGCTGTGCCGCTGAGCTAAATCCCGGCCCCCTGTGAATGTTTAAATAAATGTATTACAGTAAAAGACACATTGCTAGTAACCCCCCTCAACGTATTCCCCTCACTTCAGACTTATCCCAGTGTTCTGCCAATTTCTGAAGCAGTTCTGGAAGTCCTCTTTCTTGTCTGCAAGATGTGATCCAAAATCCAGTGAATGCTACTGCCCAGTGCCATCCAGCAAAAGGCAGGCTCATAAAAACATTTACAGTGTGTCCTCACCCACCTTATTCGCTGGATCTAGCTCTTCCCCAAGATCAAATGACTATGAAAAGTGAATGTTTTGAGTGGATTCAGGATATCAAGGCAGCCATGATAGTGCAGTTAAAGGCACTCACGAAAGAGGACTTCAGAACTCTTTCAGAAAGTGCCAAGAAAAATGAAGTGTGTTTGAACTGCGGTGGGGAGGGCATTGTAAGGGAGATGATTAATGATGTGTCTTTTACTGTAAGATTTCTAAACATCTAAACGTGCACTATTTTTCCATCATCCCTTTACCTGTGGCACCTACCTCGGGTTATAAATGAGTAAGCAGCCATCCTTAAGAAGTGTCTACACATTTACACTGACAACAATTGCATATGGATATCACCCCTTTTGGTCAAAGAGTCAAGGATTTCTAGCTTCCCTGATGACTAGGCACGTGATCGCATTCACTGGACACAAGAGGGAGAGCAAATGTGGAAACGAGCCATCTGGAAAGACAAGGTTCGGCTCCACTGTGAAACACTAAGGTCCCGGCAGGATGTCCACATGGGAAGTTTCACAGCCAGTGGGGGTTGGGTCTAGAATTGGAGAGGGAAAGTTTGGACTAGATTTGGGAGGCACAGCATAAGGAAGCCAAGGACAAGGGAAGGAATGGACTGATCTGCGACTTTGAAACATCCTCTACAAAATGGAAGTGTTGCTGAAAGACAGTATACCCTGTTGGGAGTATCAGAGACTTGGAAGGGCTAACCAACCTGGAAGAGCAAATAAAGAGCAAAGAAGGCACGAAAGAGCCCGATAATGAGAAGCCGGAGCGTTTGGAGCATCCCAGAGGCAGGATGGCATCCGGAGGAGTTACGTCTCTGAGGCTGTGCGGAGTGCACCTGAACGAGGCCAAGCAGGAAGGGCCCCGTTTCTGACTCAGGAGTCCACTATACCCAGAGGTCTTCCATGGCAACAGAAGAAGTCACCCTGTGACCAATTTTTATTTGGAAGAAAAGCCACAGCGGAACCAGTTAGAAACCCTAGTTCCTCTGGTTACAGGCTAAAGTGAAATGATGGTGAAAAGACAAAATTCTTAGCGTCCCATGTCTTTAATAAATACTTATTGAGGGGCCTGGGGATTTAGCTCAGCGGCACAGCGCCTGCCTGGCAAGCGCAAGGTCGTGAGTTCAATTCCCGGTACCGGAAAAAAAAATTTTTTTAAAATGCTTATTGAGTGCTGAGAGTTTGGGTAGTACCGCTGGCTCAGGATGTCCTCTCTTCTCAGGGCTCCACTGGAAAGAGCTAAAGAACCTCCCGTTTGAGCATTTTCCTATCCCAGACCGTCCCTCAGCCAAGGAGTAGGAGCGCGGCGGCGCCGCCAGGTGGCGCAAGCTGCGAGCTGGCTGCAGAGCGCGGGGCGGGGCCAACAGCGGGGCGGGGCCTGGGCGACTTCCGACTTCCGGCAGCGCCCGGAGCCGTCGCGCGTCGCCGTCATGGCAGCTGAGGAGAAGGACCCGCTGAGCTATTTCGCGGCCTACGGGAGCAGCAGCTCGGACTCCTCGGGCGAGGAGGATAACAGCGAGCAGGAAGAGACGAACCGCAAGGCCTCAGATCCGGCGAGGTCGTCGGGCGGCTGCGGGAACAAGGCGGAGAAGCGGCTGCCCGGCCCCGACGAGCTGTTCCGGAGCGTGACTCGCCCAGCCTTCCTCTACAATCCGCTCAACAAGCAGATCGACTGGGAGAGGCACGTCGTCAAGGCGCCCGAAGAGGTGAGGTCCCCGCCCCTGTTCCCCGGCCTCCGCCCCGGCCTCCGCCCGCCCCCCCACACGCAGTCACCCCCGCGGCCTCCGCTCCCCCCGCCCCGCGCCCCTGGGAGCCCGGGCCCCCTCCCAGCCGGGTGGGGGTCACGCCCGGCCCGCCCTCCGCGCTCGGTGCCCGCACCCCGGGCGAGGACTAACGGTGGTGACTCCCCCGCCCCCCGCTGCAGCTTCTCCCCGAGACCCCTTCCCTTTGACGCCGAAGTACCTGCGGTGCTGCCTCCAAGACAGTGTCTGCTGCAGCCTCCGAAGGAAGGGGTCAGCCCTGGCGTAGTGTCTGAGACTGGATTCTTCTTTGGTAACTAAATGTTATTAGCTTTGTTCGTACAGGGAACCCTTTAACTTTTCACTGAGCAGTATTGTGATTTTGGTGGAAAACAATGTATCTTTGAACCGTTTTTTAAAAAAAAGAAAAAGCAAGGAGATAAGCGAAGAGCAGGGAGGTGCATGTGCTCGAATCGATCGTGGGAGCCTCGGTTCGTCACAGGGCTTCTTGATGTGCTTACTTAACAGCCTCCAAAGGAATTCAAAATATGGAAGTCAAACTATGTACCACCTCCCGAGACCTACACTACCGAGAAGAAACCTCCGCCTCCAGAGCTGGATATGGCAATAAAGTGGTCGAACATATATGAGGACAATGGAGATGATGCCCCACAGAATGCTAAGAAAGCTAGGCTTCTTCCAGAAGGGGAGGAGACATTGGAATCAGGTAAGGAGGTCAGGCTCCGCGGCATTATCTCATGCTTTTGAGATGGGCTTAAAAACTGAAATACCTAGCTGGGCGTGGTGGTGGCCAGGCCTGTTAATCCCAGCACTCTGGCGGCTGAAGCAGGATCTCTGTGAGTTCCAGGCCAGCCTGGGACTACACAGGCAGGCCGTGTCAGAAAAGATGAAACAACGGCAACAACAAAAAAACAAAACAAACAAGAATGTAATATTTAAATGAATGAGATATAAACCTAGCAAATGGGTAAAATGAATGTATTGGTCTTTGTATATTTCCTGCTGTGTTTTTGAGAAAGATTCTGCTTGAAGTGAAGTCTCTGATATTTCAACTAGTAGTATTTGCCATATTTTAGTGAAAGGTGAAGTTATGCAGGCTTGAAAGTGAAATCTCTGATACCTCAACCATTACTTTATGTAGTTTGTGGTGCATTAGTATTTGAACAGCAAGATTTTATGGATTCTTGTGACTGCAGCTGGAAAGTGCTGAAGGCTTTGTTATATGTTAAAGTAGTTAAAATAAATCAGACTCTTACACTCTCAATTCCATCCTGCACACTGTAGCTTGTGTTGTTGCTAAAAGTCATATCTGAGCTGGCTGCTTTGGGGCATACCTAGAATCCCAGCACTTGGAGGCTGAGGCAGGAGGATTGCCAAGAGTTCAGGGCCATCCTGGGTTACACACTGAGTTCAAGGCCAGCCTGAATTACACAGCAAGACTCTGTTGCAAAAAAAAAAAAAAAAGAAAAAAGCCATATGCGATTATATAATTTTGCTTAAAATCCCCTCACTAAAGGACAGAGCCTGAGCTTTCTGAGGCCCAGCGTCATTCTCCATCATTTCGAAGGGCCCCCTTCCTCATATTTTAAAATCTTGAAATTCATCTGGGCATGGTGGCACACCCCTGTAATCCCAGCACTGGGGAGGCTGAGGCAAGAGGATTGTGGCAAGTTCAAGGCCAGCCTGGACTACAAACTGAGCTCAAGACCAGCCTGAACTACATAGAGAGATCCTGACTCAAAAAAAAAAACCTTGAAATTCAAAACTGAATAGAACAGTCCATTTAGTTTTGTGGTTTCCTGACCTTTGATACACATTGCACTAACTCAGACCAAGAGGAGAGAGAAATGTTGAGTCTGATCTGTAATCGGTGATTTGCTCCTATCTTGCATGTGCTAGTGCTGCTCACTGCTGGCTTGTTGCCATGTGTCCTTCATGAAAATGAGTTCATCAAGCACCAGGATCCTGGTGTTCTTTATGTCGTATCATGGTTACTAGTATATTGTAAGTGTTCAGTGGGTAACTGTTGAATTGAGCTTAGTGTTTTGGACATTAGAAAGGGTGTACTTTTTAAATAGATTCCTGATCTTCCCACAGTGTAAGTGCTGTTTAGCTCCTTTCACAGCTGTGCGGAGTTAAGAGTAACTAACTGGCAGGAGTTTTTGCCTTTTTTTCCCCCTATCTTCCCCACTGGGTATTGAACCTAGCGCCTAGGTATATTCTTAGCATTTTAAAAAATTTTAAAACAGGGTCTTGCCAAATTGCAAAATTGCCCAGACGAGGCAGCCCCCTGCCTCAGTCTGCCAAAGTGCTGGGACTGTAGGCACGTGCCACAACACGCAGCTCCCAGTTTTTATTCTACTGGCTATTTCCTTCACTAAATTTCTCTCACTAATTTCCTAGTGTGTTTTAGAAGTCACTAATGAAAGCATATCTTTAGTGTATGGCATCTTTTTTGGAGATCTTAAATGAAGTGAGCATACCTCATATTTATGGTATTTTGTATAACTAATAACAATACTTTTGTATAAGTAGTCTTTAATTGTTAAAGAGCCTTGTGAAACCACATAGAAAAATGTGAAAATGAGAGCTTATGCGACTTGTCTAAGGTCACAAAACTGGAAGATGCCGGGGCTGACACATGACTGTAATCCCTGAAGTTTGAAGTCAGCCTGGGCTACTTCGGGAGGCCCTGTCTCAGAAAACCAAAAGTAGCCAGGCCTGATGGTGCACACCTGTAATCCCAGTACTGGAGAGGCTGAGGCAGGATCATTTTGAGTTCAAGCCCAGCCTGAACTGCATAGTGAGACCCTGTCTCAAAAAGAAAAAAAGAAAAGAAAACCAAAAATAAATAAATAAATGGAAATTGGTTTTTATTAAGTAGGGTTTGATCGTTTGTTTTCCTGGTATGCTATGTAAGTCTCTGCCCCTGAGCTATATCCCCAGCCCTAAAATCTTCAGCTTTGACTTTAATGTTGGTTATTAAATACAGCTGTCATGTTTTTGTAATAACTTTTTAGAAGTGACTGTCACCATTGCAGATGCCCATGCCATGTTCATGAAGTCACTGTAAAAATTAATCCCTCTTTTTTTTCTTTTTTCTTTTGCAGTGCTAGGGATTGAACCCAGGGCCTTCACTCTGAGCTGTATCCGCAGCTTTTTTTTTTATTTTGAAACAGTCTTGAGTTAGCTAGACTGGGTTCAAACTTGGAATCCTCCTCCTGCCTCAGTTTCCCAGAGTTCTGAGATTGTAGTCATGCGCTACTACACTCAGCTTTCCCTGATATATTTTAAACCTGCTTCTTAAATTCATGAAGTGTCATGTATCAGACACTCTACACTCTTCTATAACATTTTAGATTCCGGTCTTATTTGGCCTTCCCATTTTCCACCCTTTGGCCCTTTTTGTCAGTTGCTTCAGAGACTAGAAGAGGAGCCAGGGAAAAGATAGCCTCATGAACAGGTCCTACCACTTAGCACTTGTTTAATGTTTGTGCAGTGTGGATAAGTAAAGGCTTAGCTTTTCTTTGTAGTTCATTGACATGTAATTAATTGTAGAAGCGTAGCTAATGTAGCTAACGATTTTTTTATTTTTATTTTACTTGTTTTTAATTTAGAAAGTTTATGTTGATAAATTAAACTTATTTACCTCAGGTGAGTTGAGGTCCATAATGGAAAAATTGTTTTCACACCAATGCATCTGTACTTCATCTGTGAAGTAAAAGAGGTTGGGAAAACTGATGAACAAACACTTTGAGAACTTTTTTCCTGTGCTGGTTTTTGCTGCAATGCCTTGTCGTGACACTAGATGGCAATAACTCTTCTGCTCAAATCACTGTCAGGAAGTTCCTTTTTCAGCCTCAGTAGTTTGATTTGGTTGTTAGCATTAGATTTACTTGTAAGAAAGGGAAAAATAAAAGCTGAAGTGTTGCAAGATCAGCTTTTTAATGTATGTTGTGAATGTTATAGTAGACTTACAAAGTGCTTTCAATTTTTATATTGCATTTCCTAAAAATAATCTCAAGATAAAGTGATAGTAACCCCAGTTAAAAAACAAGGGCTGTGGCTTGTTTGAGCTGTATGCCATACCAGTTAGATAAACGAGCCAGTATTTTTGTGTGTACTGATCAACTATTAATTAAAACATTGGTTTGTAAATTCTAAGGGTGAGTTATTGACTTGCATTGCATTTTATTATACTGCCTGCATAAATCCATGGTATTCTATGAAACATATAAATAATTATAATATCATTGTCTTGTATTTGAAAATGAATGAAGATGAATCACTTGCTATTGGTACAAATTAGTGTCCACGTTAACAAAGGAGATTCTGAATGTGGTCAGCAGAAGGGAATTGAAGGCTTAAGATTTTAAAGATACTTCCTTCTAATAATTTGATATTAGCTGTTCCCCCAACTTTTTAATATGAAGGCACTGTTCATTATGAAAATAGTGTGTGTATATGATCACAGTACTTGTTGAACTTTGAGAAGAGAAAGAAAAAGATACCAAGTAATGCGCTCAAAATAAGTTTGTGTGTTATTTCAGAACATCTTCTACATGTTCTTTATTCTATTGATGTGGAATTCTAAATATCACATATTTACTTAGGGAGGTAGAAATTAACAGTTGGTCTGTTATCCTGTTCTTTATTGAACAGTGTAATTGGAGTTTTTAAATAGAATTAAAAGGTCCACTTTTTCAGTTTTGCAGCATTTTTGCTAATTAAATTTTCTGTGGCTATGGGCACTGAGCATTTTGGAAGGGTTTAGAGGACAGTTTTTATGTACGGTTCTCCTCAAATTTTCCTCGGTATAAAGAGAAGCTAGGTGTTTTTCTGTTGCTATTAGAATATTTTAACTGCTAGGGGGGAAGTGGGGAATGGAACTAAATGCACAGGAAAACACTGAAAACAGAAGTTCAGTGAACCTCTCCTTGAGTGCTTTTTTACCTTATGACATAAGGGTTTTGGGGTATTGAGAATGAGATTGGGAGAGAACAGTTGGTTTTTGGAGGAGAGAAAGCTTGAAAGGAAAAGGACAGCTGATAGTTGCTTAAATAATGTCATGGTTCTGTAGGTTGGTACCTATTTTTGTAAAAGGGAAAACTGCTTTATTTTTACAAAGTATAGATTATTCTTAAATATAATGCATTGTATATACTGTTGAATTTTGGGGAGCAGCTTTTTCAGAATTAATCTGATTTTTGTAGAAATAAAACCGCTTATTTTAAGCTACCTTAATGTAGCCCTAAAGGTCAGTTTGTGAATTTTGTATTGCTGCATTTTTTTTAATGCGCTTATTTTCACATACAGTTTCTTGTTTCCATTTTTGAGACAGAGTCTCGCTATGTAGTTCAGGCTGGCCTTGAACTCATTATGTAGCCCAGGCTGGCCTCAAACTCAGGGCAAGCTTGCTATCTCTGCCTCCTGAGTGCTGGGATTACAGGTGTGCACCACCGTGCCCAGCTTACATACAGTTTAATATCAGAGTTGTAAAAATTAATTTTTGGTTTTTAATGGCAAATTTTGAAACAAACGGTTGATGAGGTGATTATTTTGGAAGAAAGCTAATGAAATTTTAATGTTTTCCTTTTGATAAAATTACTGATGGAAACTCTTTCTCTCCTGTTTAAAGATGATGAGAAAGAAGAGCATGCTTCCAAAAAGCGCAAAGTAGAACCAGGAGAATCGGCAAAAAAGAAAAAATAGAAAACAACGAAGGACGAGACTGCTGGACTACTAAACCTGTTGAAATGTGTCTTTGGTCAGATTATTTGAGATTGTGGATTATTATGACAAAACACATCTCCATGAAAGTATGTATGTTAATGAACTAATAAGTGTTGCTTCAAGAACTTTCCACTGTAGAATCCATTTTTTTATTTAAAACTTGTATGTATTTAAAACACAAATGGTGGCCTGTGATTGTGAAATTGATAGTCCTTGGAAGCATTCTTGCTGTCTATCCCAGAGTTGGTGGTGTGCTTTGAGAGTTGTCACATACTGACATGCCAATGTTCTATGAACCTTTTATAAAGGAATATATTTTTAAAGTAAATATATTGTAATGTACTGTGAACTTGTGGGGTGCTTTTCGTCAGTGTTTGTACAGTGTAAATAAATCATGGAAATAAAATTACGTATTCAATGTTGCTCTTACTCCATAACATTAACCTTTAAATATCTGTCACAAGTCCCCTCCTTCCCATGTGACATTTTAGATAGTAGTAGGTATTACCATCTAGGGAGTATCTCCTGTGTTGCACGTGCTTGTGCATATATTATCTCTGATCCTGAACCTTCTAAGTAGGTGTTAGTATCCTCATTTTATACGGAGGACAACTTGAGTTACTTGTCAAAGGTAATACAGCTAGTCAGTGATGAATATGGAATTTAACTCAGGATGCTAGAACTCCAAAACACATTAAACCACCTCAACCAATCAAAATTTAGTCATTTTTTAAGAACTACTCTAATTGCCATTTTTCCCATGTACTCTTCTGTTGTAGCTGAAATTATTTCCACCCCTGACTGACTGTATTTATTATAAATGCCTTATTATTATTAATGTTCCTATTAAATAATCTACTAAAGATATGGGTCTTCTACAAAGGTGGACCCAGTTTAGCAAAGAAAAATGCAGGGCACCCAGTGAAATTTGAATTTCAAATAAACTGTTTTAGTATATGTGATGTTTAGGACATACTTACATTAGAAATTTGTGTATCTGAAATCCACATTCACCTGGGTGTCTTGGTTTTTTTTTTTCCTATTGCTCTTGGGGCCCAAACCTAGGACTTCCATCATGCAGGCAGGCCCTCCACCACCAAGCTAGACCCTTATTCCCGCACATATTTTATCTAGCAGCCCTATTTCTGTGTACTGTATTTTCTTCCCCTAGCTCCTATTTTAATGTTTTGCATATGATAATACTCAACAAAACGAGTTAGGAAGATGTAATCTTTCAGTTCTACAATCTAAAATGGAGTACAATTATTTATAGCATTTTGAATGATAAAAAGTTACTGCTACATCAATATTTCCATGAGCTTTATGCCCTTAAGAGATGAGGGTTATTTGTAAGGCCAGGAGGAAAATTAAGTATCTTCTGAGTTTTAAAAGAAAATGTATAGTCTTTGGGCTATTTTTTCCCCATACCAGCAGCAAAAATTTGAAGTTATATAAAATTTGCTTAGGGAAGTGAATCAAGCATTTTAAAAATTTGTATACATCATTAAGTAGTTGTGCCAGCATCCGTGTTTGTGGGTAGAGGGAAGAACATAATAGTATGATGGCTTCCTGTATATCTCATGCTTAGAAAAAAACTATAGTGTGCACCTTCTAGGTTTGCAAATAAATGAACCCTGAAATTGAAGTAATTGCTAAATCAGGAATTTCCTTTGAACACTGAAGTCTTTGCATACGAAGAATTGGGAAGTTTGTGATATATACTGGGCAATGGCATCAACTGGAAGGCATGACCCCAGTGACATCATATGGAAACAAATTCCAGTTGTAGGCTTTCTCCCAGGCTCTGGAGGAATCTAGAGTCCAAATGCATAGACTGGTGGAGCAAAACTAAGAAGTTAGCTGAAATATTGCAAGGTTTCAAAAGTTACATAAAAGCAACTTCATACCAAGAAAAAGTGGAAAATACAACTCTCCCTTCTGCTTTTTAGATCAGTTAGTTAATAACAGAGAATAAGACCTCACACTTTAAGCTTCTTACTTAGAGCTTCTTTTCTAGAAAGAACAAGAAGGGAAGCAAATGCTTCCCACCATTTTTCGTAGCAGTGATGTATGTTTGTTCCGGTTTTCTGATGTGGGTATGTGCATGTCCTAACTTTCAGACAGTGGCTACACCTATGGGATTAGAAAGCCACTGCTGGGAGACCTAGTCCTACACCTGTACAGAACGTGGCTAGTTTTTATTTTATGAGAGGGAAGAAAGAGGCTATTTTGACCTAGCCCTTGATATATCATTGGGTTTCTTTTCGAGATCATGAAAAGGGACATGAACTTGGTTGTGAATTATTTAACCTTCACAGAACAATCCTAGGTTAGAAGATGGATTTTCATAGCGCACTCTTCTGCCCATCACCACATCAGAGTGGATTCTTTTTCCCCTTAGAGATATCCTGAGAACATGTTTGCACAAGCGTCCTTCTGAGAACTGAGGTAAAATTTTGTTCAGCTAGCGAAAACTCAGTGGGGAAGAGGCTTATAGAAGTCTATATAGGTGGAGCCAGATGTGGGCAACAGTAACCTGTGCTACCCAAGAGGCCAAGGCAGGAGGATTTTCAGGTGGAACCAACCTGGGCTATGTAGTGAGACCCTAAATCAAAATAAAATGAGGGCTAGGGGTATAGTTCAGGGGTAGAGTGCTTACCTAGATTTACCCAGAATTCCATAAGTGAGGCCCTGGATTCAGTTATTAACACTGAAAAAGAAAAAATAAATAAATAAATAAATAAATAAATAAATATATATATATATATATATATATATATATCTCCTTTAAGTATTTAGAGATTCAAACTGCTTGATATTTTTTTTTTAATCTTTAAAGAAGTTAAGCTACATTAGGCATAAATGACTTTTGTACATGATTACTTGAGAAAATCATATGGGGGCCATATTTTAAAATTGAAACTAAATAGTTTTGTAGGGTTTTAGGGTAACATTCTAACTGGAAATTGACACTGATTCTTTAGCCAGTAAACACTAAGATCTGGCTTTCTTTGCAAACTCACAACTAATCTTAACCAAATACTGTGCAGTGCTTTTGAATTCGTAAAGTTCAATTGCATAGTAGTATTTTGTTTTCCAAAAGCCCTATGCTGTGGGTTTTGTTGTCTTCAACTAGAAAATGGAAAATAGGCCTAGTAAGGTGAAGCGCGATTTAGTTTTCTAGAAGTGAGGGTATGAGAAGCTGATAGTGCTTACTTTTGGATAGAGTGAGTAACATGAATAGACTAATACAGTTTTGGATATGGCCTGCATAGACAGTTAATGTGTCACATAACTTCAATAGATACAAAGTCTAGCCAGAAATATTTGAAAAATATAAGCATTTTGACAAATATATATGATCGGAATGAACGCAACAACTTAGTTTAAGTCAAACACTTGTACTTTTGATTGATTGATTTGTTGATTTTTTGAGATAAGGCCTCAAATTCCAGGTGATCTTCCTGCCTGAGCCTCCTATGTGCTGGGATTATGGTATGTGCCACCATGTCCAGCTTTTATACTAATTTAAACCCATAACTGGGTTTTTAAATTGTTATGGTTTGTGTCTGGGTGTCCCCCCAAAGCCTCATGCAGTCATAGGGCGGGCTTTTAGAGTTTATGATTGATCCATGATCCAGTGCTAGGATTAAGGGTGAGAGTGCTACACTTGCCCCTGGGGTGGGTAGTTTGCATATGTAAGGGAGAGAAAGAGGCTGCTTGCCACCACTCCTCCCTCTTGTTGTTGCCTTTGCTGTTTTCTGCTGCCATCAGCTGTTGCCCTCTGCCATGTGCCACTCTGCCTTGGAGCAAGCCAAGTATGGACTGAAGTCTCCACAAACTGTGAGCTAAATAAACCTTGCCTTCCTTAATTTTGGGCACTGGGTTTTTTGTCTCAGCAATGAGAGAAAAGTAACCAAGACAAAAATATATCATTGGTGATACTTTAGATTTTAGAAATTTTTTTTTAGGTTTTTTTTGAGACACAGTCGTGCTATGTGAGATAGTTCCAGCTGTCCTTAAATTCACTGTGTAGTCCAGGCTGGCCTGGAATTTATGGCAATCCTGTCTCAGCTTCATGTGCTGGGATTACAGGCACGTGCCACCACACCTGGCAGATTTTAGAATTTTGTAGCTGTATTTTGTTTCCTGTTTCACACCTCCATTTAATAATAGTGCAGAAATCTCAGGCATTTCTCCAGATAGATGTTAAAATCCTCAGCAATTGTTTTAGAGTTTTGATTAAACTCTAAAGCTTTACCTCTTAACACATTGCACTATAAGGGAGAGAGACAGAGAGCCCGAGAAGCTCTTTACACAGTATGTCCCTAACTCATGAACAAGTCCTGACCCAGGAGAAAGTTCTTAAGTCAGATTCATTCGTATGTCTGACAGAGTGAGTCTTATATAACTTTGACACAAACGTACAATGGAAAACATTTTTTTAAAAACCCATCAAATCACTCTTTTCCTCTTGCTTCCGGACATCCTGGGCTCTGACTGAGCACAGTGCTACTATGCACTGTTCCACTGTACAGTGAGCACACAGCAGCACAACTGCCACAATGTCCAGCAGACTCAGGAGCTACTTCTCTGATTTGTTTGCATCTATGAATGTTTATTTGTAATGCGAGGTCCATTGTATCTGTGAAAGTTCACAATAATGTTTGTAAGTCCAGTACTGACTGTACAGTATATGATCTAGAGAGGAGTGACATTTTGTCTCTTCATTGACTGGAAAAATGCATGATGCACAGTAGGCATTCGGTAAAACTGCAGAATGTTGAAAGTCAGTGAATTCCTCATCCCCTGCAAAAGAGTGATCTTAAATTGTTGTGTAATGCTGTCCCCCACACACTCCGTCTGTAGGTTGTGTTTTCAACTCTATGGGCCAGTAAGTCTTGATGGTTTAAATGTTCCAGTTAGGTTTCCTGTCCTAATTGATATAAACCTCTTTTTACTCTTGTTTCTTCCTGGGCCCCATGCTAACCTTATTTTTTTCCTTTATTCTTTCTGGCTCCCTCTCTTCCAGCTACCTAGAAGTCCAGCATAGCCCATAGTGTTGCTTTCATTTTCCACACTGGCTCTGGCAGTTTCAGCCAAGTTCTTGGCAGTGACTGCTGCTGACAGTAACACTCTGCTGGTTCCATATGCTGTCTGGCTTGCCAGAGTGATTGTTCTTAGGAAGCCTCAGATTGATCTATCTAGTCGCACAACTCCCCTGGGCATTTTAGGCCCTGCACATACTGTGTGTGCAAAGCCAAACATACTGTGTCAAAAGCCACGTTACCTCCTGTTTCATTTCTAGGTGATGGCATTACCATCAACCCAGAAACCTGTCCTCTGCCTCACCATCACATAGGTTTGGTCAATAAATTTTAGATTTCATTTTTTTTTCCACATTCCTCTTAGTCCAGC